TTTTTTGATTTTTTTAATTTTTTTTTTTAGCAATTTTCCTAACAAAAGGAATACTGTAAAAAGAAATCAGGTTTGATTTCTCTAGTATAATTAATTGACTTTTTATTTGCATTGAATTAGCTTCACTTAAAGTTTAAAGATGGTCGAATGTAAAGAATAGCTTATTAACCTGTGTCAATATATAGAAAAGAAAAATCATTTTAGTTATTTATTCATTTTATGTGACTACTGTTTATTATCTTAAGCCACACAGACCGAAAGAATTTATTACTTTGTTTTGAGTCAATTTTTACATTGTTTGTAATCATACTATATATGTTTAAATTCTGCAGAAGTTCAATAGCATGTAGCACATGAATTTTATTTAGTAAAGTCATTGCGATCTCAAAATAACACTTATACAAGTTGGATTAACAAATTGTATAAGTTAAACACCTTATGTATGTATATACATTTATTGCTTGTGTGAATCATTGCACGTGACATTTCGATCAAATAGAAAGTTTACAAAGCTCGAAACCCGCACATTCATTAAGAATATAAAATTATAACATTTTCTTGTTTACAGAATAAATTGTTTCCATTAAACTTAAAAAAATAATAAATAAATAAAACTACAAGATTCGTAAATAATCTATCTTTTGTTTTTTTTACTCTTAGGTCCTGTTCGATTTGGCTTTCTTTTCCATGGAAGATGGAAATTAAATTTCATTTCTACTTTTTTGCATGTTTGATTGATTAAATTTTTCATGGAATTGGTTTTCATATTTTCTTGGTTTTTGAGGAAAAGTTTTTCCCATGGGTTTGGTGAGAAAAACCTTTTTAGGCAACTTTTTTTTTTTTTGCAATTGAAATAAATTATATCCCAAATTGAAACAAATTATATCCCTTTAATGGACAATTTTCATGAAAAAAGTCAAACAAATATCAAAAGATTCAAAATTTTAATATTTTACTGGTGAAAAAGCATACCAATCAAACAAAATTAATTGACAATTTCTAATAAAACAAGTTATAGGCAATTTATTGCTCTGAAATTCATTTTCTTTCCACCCAATTCCATTTTTGCAATCAAACATACCCTTAATGAAGTTGAAATGAATTATAACTACCAAAAAAAAAAAGGCTCACACATCTATCTATTCTGGTCTTGTTCTTCACCACTCTAAGATTATAATTTGATCTTGTGACAAACACTCATTCTTTTTGTAGATGTACCTATGTCGACAAAGCTTGTCTCTAGAGGAGGGTGGTCATAGAGTTAACAATCATTGTATTATTAAGAATTTCATGTTGAAAGAAGTCACATGTAGGATATTCAATAGATATCGATGCTTTTCCATGGACCACCGAGAAAGTAGTATGTCCGCTCTTCTGTTTGGCTAGGCCTAAAGTTTCATTATGCTACTTTGATTCCTTGATTCTAGGTGGTTAGTAGATTGTCATGAGTTCTTCTTTGGTTAGATAACTATTTAAACACCCAATTGATAGACTTGGTGGGGGATCATACTTCGAAGTAGCCTTAGGTACATGTATCAGAGAATTTTTTTGTTGTGATACACATATATGAACCCTTCTTAGAGTATTCCACTCATCCCATATAGTGTTTACAACAGATGTTAAAGGGCTGGTGATGAGCTCAATTCACATTCATTGGTTTAAGGTTTCTTGTGCAAGTATCGACGCCTCTCTCTTTAAGGTTGGAAGTTTTAGTTGGGGAAAGCAGATATTGAAGTCATTCATTCGAGGCTCTACATCTCTCTTGGTTTGGCGATTGTTGAATGATAAGCTTCTTGCTAACTCATCACTACCTGACCGTAATTTTATTTTTGAGTGATGCTATCTTGCTTCACTAGTGCTTAACACTAGCCTTGGTACCACATAAATGGTATTAGATGGGAGATTCATTTAATAGCAAGGAGACACGGTCCATTTATTTGAATCTATCATATGTTATCATCTAGAACACCTGTGTAGTGGTAGAGCCATAAGTTTTTCATTTGGATAAAAAATAAAGATAATTTTTTTTTAAAACTATATAATATTTATGAAAATAATAAGTCAAAACACATTACTACCAACTGTAGTCTATACATTTTTATACTTCAAAAATATCATATAATTACATCGTTATTAATATTGCCAAATACACCGTTCTAATTATGTCTAAATTATTTTATAATTTCTAACAATTACAAATTTATTTAGAGGTCTGCTGCATGTACAGTCCTTAAGGAGAAAAATTCATTTATTTATGAAACACAAACCACGTTGTCATAGTTGGTGAAATAGTAAAGTACGTTGCACAATGTCTAAATTAATGATTTCCTGCGCACCAACCTCCCTACGTAGACACGAGTGGAGATCTGAAAAAAAATAAATAAATAAATAAGAAACGCCCATTCCAATCCAATGTGACATCCGCCGACGGAAGAAGACAAATTAAGGGCACATCACCACCCCAGAAATTCGTAGAAAATATACAATTCTAACTTCTTTACATGAAAAGACTCAAACGTAAAAGAAGAAATCAAAGCTGCAGTTGCCAAAGATGAAATATAAAAGAACATTCAATAATTTCTAATTTCAACATGGCATAATTATTTTTCCAC